CGGTTCCGGGCGGGGGGGGGGCTGCCCCGGGGTAGGGGGTGTCGGCCGGTGTCGCGTCTGCCCTGAGCCGCTCCCGTTTGTGGCGTTCGGGTTGTTCCCCCCGGGGCGTTCGGCAGTCGGTTTCTGCTGTGGCGATTCAGAAGGCCGAGGTATAGTCTGTTGGCGCTGGGCTGCGCCTCGCTCAGTAGTCTGCCCGTTATTTCTAGGCTTACGATGTCGCTCCCGGCAAAGAGATGTGGAAGGCCCCCCGTGCTGTCGTTTCTGGAAAAGAAAAAGAGAAAGCAAAGTCTGGATAGGAGAAGGGGGAAAACAAGGATTTATGTGGGAAATCATATTGACCGATGGTTGACACTTAAAGAAAAGTTGGATTTCAGAAATGATGCAGAAGTCGCGGGGTTTTTACTGGACTTGTGAGTAGACTGACACAATGCTGCTCTGTTTACTAATGCCAAGTGAATAATTCTTGGTGCTAATGCCAACTGTGTATCTTCTTTCTAGGTATGACAGCTATGACCCACTGTCAAAAGCTCCAATCTGTTCCCTCCCCGAGGGTGTGAGAAGAATTACTGTGAAAGAACAAAGAGCTTTGTCAGGCAGCACTTCTTTAATAGCAGCTGATGGAACGTTAGTAGTGTACTGTCTTCATGTGGGAAAGGCAGATGCAATGTTTTTCTTAATAGTACTTAAAAGACTGTAGCTGACATCTTAAAAAAGTGGGGTGGAAGTTATATAAGAAAGAGGAAAGCATACAGCTAATTTTACTAAAATGGAAGATTTTTTTATATCCTTTGTAAAATAGCTGATATATTTGTTTTGTTGTTTGTATCGCTGAGCACATAATAGTCTAGATGAAATAGAAACAAAAGTTTTTTTTGCAGAAGAAATCTTTCAGTTAACGATTTGGGTTGTATTTGCAGGTATGACAATGATGACCAGTTGCCTAAAGAATCCGCTTGTTCCGAGCTTGGAGATGTGAGGATTGTAACTGTGAAAGAAGAGAGAGAGGTGCCACATGGCAGCTTGTCAACGGAGACAGATGACACGTTAGTGAAACTATGGTTTTTTGCATGTTTTGCATTTGAAAATATTTTGCATTGATTTTATTATCACTTTTAGTTTTGTTTATTAGAAACTCATGTCATTCATGCTCTGATTCGTTATCGAAAAACATCTTGATACATACTGGTTGGTCCAGTCTTTCTGAGGCAAGAATCTGAGAGAGGTTTTGGAACAGTTGTAAGACTCTTAAGAGTACATGCAGCAAACCTGCTTGTTCAGTGACTGCCTTCCTTAATTGTGCACAATATTCATGAGTGGATCAATAGCCAGTACTTTATATGTATCCTAGCCACTTTAGTAAGCAGTTAGATTTTTACGGTAGTATAGTCTCCAGATGAGTGCAATTGCGCGTGCTTTAACCTTTCTCAAAAGAAAACTGTTTCATTGTTGACTGAGTGATGTTACATACAAAGTGATGTGTTAACCTATCTAAAAATAGTGCCACACTCAACGAGGCAACCACACCATCAGTCGACTGCTGATTTCTTTTACTGCAGTGTCATCAATAACTGAGGCATTCACAGTTGAGATCAGAGGAGCCTCAAATAGGTATGCTTGTCCATTACTCTTTATTTAGGTTTCAATTATCCACAACAATGTTACTGAGTAATTGTAATTTTGTCCGTGTCTTCGTTATCTGACCTTTAAAAAAATGTATCTTTTAATGTGTGCAGGGGGCCACTGAGAACCTAGGACATTACATTGGCATTGCATGGTGTGTCCAAACCCCTCGCTAATATGGTGAAGTATGTAACGCATGTAGCATGTTTGTCTGAATCTCGTTTTCCACTGTGTTTTTGCTTGTGACTTTCCTAATTATTCTTACTTTTGATTTTAGTAGGTGAACAAGTTGGGGTTCTGAAAGCAATTCTGTGGCACAGAAGAATTCTTGGAAGCTAGGTCAGGAGAAAATAAATGCCAGTGCTGATGAAGCTGACAAATTCAAGTACATTCTTCAAAATATCATTTTTCTCTGGCAATATAACTTTAGTTTGGATTGCAGCAGTAATTGAATTCCTGGGACTAATTTGATACAGGTGAGACAGGGTTTGTTCTTAACTGATTGCTTATTTCAGCCTGCTGAGATGTGAGAAATATTGTGAAAAGTTGTTTGGTAGTTTTGAGAAAAACTTTGTTACCCGAAAAGGTAAGGTATATGATGCTTTGTTACAGTCTCATGATATCTATGCGAAGATGCTAGACAAATTATCAGGTGTGTATGCAGTGGTAATTGTATAAAGTAAAGAAATTACAGTTGTCTAAGAATAAAGAGATTAAAAAATAAGACAACTGTTATGGGACAGACTTCCTAGGGCACTCTGTGTTATTCTAGGGGATATTCACCAACCAGGAGTAGTTGTATAGCCTCTCTATGAGGAAAACAATTGGTTTGTGTTTCAGTGTGTGAATGCCACATCACTGGTAATGCTTCTGGGTTTGTTTTGCATGCACAGTATAGCGGTGAGATAGAGCAATGATGTTATTGAGGGATTCTTACTAGCTGTGGGATATCCATACAGTGGTCAAGTGATGTACCTAAGGTGATGTTGGTAGCTGAACTTGGGTCTTAAAAGTAAGGCTACATTCAATTACTAACTCAGTGTTTTTAGATGGGTGGGCAAAATTCTTAATGTTGTAGACAATAGTGGTTTTCATTTGGAAAGGAACAGTGGTTATGTTAATGTATACTTTTTTTTTTCTTCTTGTTTTTAAAGGTGTGGTACTGCACTTCCTATTGAAGGGTGGAGATGAAGGCAGGTATTTCCTGCTTTCCAGGCATTTGGGTGTCATTTTTTCCTGTTGCTGTTATTGTTTTGGGCCTTACAGAGTACATATTTTCATTCTATGCTGCTATATAAGGGCCAGGAAAAGAACAAGGTCTTGTTGAAGAAGCTTTATTAATAAATTCTGAATTAATAGTCATAAAGCACCTGTTGTATTCTAAGCCTTTTACTATCTAGTTTAGTTTAAGGTTGGCTAAACACTAACTGTTGAGGAACTGGAAATATCAGAGAGAATGGAGCAAGAACACTTAAACACACCTGCTTCATCAATAGCTTTAATGTTTGGGTTTTGTGGTGTTTATGGAGTCTTGCCTGCTGATGTTAGCTTTCAGAGGTAGCTGTTGTTGTAGAGAATGAAGCTGATGGAGAAACAGTGAGGGAGTCAAGTAGCAGGGATTTCAGGATTCTTGCCAGGTGAAATGGTATGGTTTTTGGAGTTCTGGCTTTTGTGAAAAGTTGGAATGTTGAAATAACACAGGAAAAAAAGGGTGTATGGAAATCTGATTCGAAGTAGTATTAGCAGGGCATAGCCAAAGGGAAGTGTTACGGAACCCCATCCAGTTAGGTTCCTGAATACATTCAGTTCTTCTCTACTGCTTCTTCTGTTATTAACTTCCAACTTTAACATTTAGAATACTAACCAAGCTAGATTCAGATTATTTTTCTGGCTTAGATGTAACAAGTGCAAAACTGTCAAAGCAGATAATAAACAACTTACTGCTTTTTCTTTAATGTTTGTTATTTACTCTGACATTAAAATTGAAGAATGATGAGTCAAAGTAGTTGAATAGGGTTTTTTGAGGAAGCTTTGGGGGATTTGGGGTTCTTTTACTTCCGCAATATTTGAGTGATAAGAGATTCAAAAACTCCTTTACCTGGACCTTTATTAATGAGACAGATTCTCATGATAGAACTGACTTTCCTGGGATTTGATTATGGAATGTATCATTTTTTGCCTTGATTTGCTAAGAAATGAAACAGAATACAAGTACAAAATAAATACTCAAAAGTGTCACAGCAGTTTGGGGAGGAAGACTGAAACCTGTCAGATGAGTTGGTGTCAGTCAGTAGTAAAGGATCGGTTGGGAAGCCCCTAATTTGAAGGTAGGCTTCCGCTTCAGTTCCTGTCTCTCCTAAAATGGTAGTAGGAAGTCCTTGTATAACAATTTTTGCTGTATAACTTTTCTCACAATTGTGGGATCTTGCAAGAGTCTGTATTGCCAAACTTCTCTTTATCCTAACTGATCTGTTGTCTGAAAAGTTGTACGATTACTGTCCAGACAAGGCAGTTGTAAAGTGTAATTCCCTAACTTGGAAAGAAAATAAACAATCTTGAGAAAATGTCCAGCACACTGTTAATGCTGAAGACTTACTATGACACTAGTGTGTACAGCTCAGGAGTTTCTTAGGAAGCAGGAAAGTAAAACTTAAATCACATTGGAAAGAAAAAGGGGGGGGGAAAGATCACCTGCATAGTAGGACAGCTTCTTGTGCTCTACCAACAAATTGATTTTTGATGCTTTGTTTTGAATAGCCTGCATTCAGACTAAGTCGGGCCAAAGTATAAAATAACAATTCTTAATTGAACTAAAAGGCTCTGCATGTATTGTTTTTGATCTTTAGCGTTCACAGTTTGTTTTTAATTAAAAAAACAACCACACGCACACACACTCCCATCCCCCTGACAAACCAAAATCTGTGGTTACTTCACTAATGTAACTTGAAAGTGAATGTGTAACACTGCTTTTCCTTACAGAAAAAATTAAGATTGAGTGGTTAGTCTAAGACACTTAATTAAATAATTCACTTTATTGTAGTGCTAAATGTTGAGCTGTATTTCACTGTAGTGAAACCTATGTATAAATATCATAAAAACAGAAGATGTTGGTCTGATTATATGTATTACGCATACAAAAGCACAAATGGAATTACTGTAATATTTTCTATTATTTCAAAGTTAGAAGATTGTATTAGGGGAATGTTCTTGTCTAGACATACTGTGTGAAAGAATGCAAACATACTTCCTACTTAGATATTTCAATGTCACGTTGTAACTGTTGTCATTGTGTTACTTTTCAGGGTGACCAGCAAGAAGAAAATCAAGCTCTTGCATAACAATATGGGGACAGTTTTTGTTCCATTTTGATTTTTGCTGTGAGGGTATTGTAAACTATAAAGAATTACTGTAAGTTGTAGTATGAAATCCCATGTTACTTGTTGAACAGTGCATTAAACTAAATTACCTGAAGTTTTATTGTGTTATGTTAACATGAATAAAGTGTGTGGAGTGGATTATTTCACTGAGAGAGTCTGTATGTAGTTCTCGGAAGGGCAACAAGAAACAACAAGCCAAAATGCTAATGGGTATTGCTCAAGCTTATTCAGAATTTATTAACTTTCTGTAGGTTGTATTAATGAAAAAGTTCCTCACATTTTATTTAAAACTCAAAGGGCTAAAATAAAAACAACATTTTAGTAGCAGTTGCAGCATCGAGCATGCTTCCATCCTGAATGCGTTTGTTGGAATGCTTTTTCTTAGGGAACATATTTAACATATCCCACATACTGGAAGGTATTCTTGCAGGTTATTGATGCACTTTAAAATAATGGGTAAAAACACTGGACCATATAGTATGTTGTGTTCGTACCTTCTAAAAAATGAGTAATCAAGATCAGATACCATGTTGTTTATCTAAATGTATTTCATTACTGAATAATTTGGTCTCTTGCTTTGGCTTTTGATACTACCTAAGATGATTAATGATGCCTCTTAATTATTTTCTTCTCTTAACAAAGATGAAATAAGTGTGGAGTACTTTCAATAACTGAAGTTCAACAGAATAGCGTTGGCAGTTCTGAATTTGTTTTGTAGTTACTAAGTATGAGTAATCCTGGAAAGTTTTTAACTGAGAAACTGTGAAATTAGTATGATTGTATTCAATATATGTTTGTCAGAAGGACAGAAACTCCCAGTCTTCTGATGCTTTTTTTTTTTTTTTTTAACCGCACACTTTCATAAGCATTTAGGTCTTGATCTTACAGTATTCAAGCCAGCTGGGTTTTCCCATCAACTTACATTAGAACAGCCTCTATCTGTGGAGGAATTCCCCTAATTAGGTCATTACACTGAACATTCAGTTTTTTTAATGAGGTATTTCACTTCACCTGCTATAAGAACCTACTGCTCTTAAATATTATTT